TGTTAATTTCTTCTAGTACGGGGTCCATTTTTCCCACTCAAGCCTTTTACGTATTTTAGTTGTAGACTTTTTATCTCTACTGCTCGGTGTAGAAAACTCTATTTTAGTTATAGATTTTGTATCTCCTCTACTCGGTGTAAAAAACTCTTGAACTTCAATCTCAGAGGGTTTGTTCAGATCTTTTGCTTGAAGTTGGTTAATAAACTCACATTTCTTTAGATTTCTTATTATATCTTTTAATGCTTCAGCAAATCTATCCCACCCTACTGGATCACTTCTTTTTAAGGGTCTTAGTGAATCATTTATTAAATCAACAATATTACTTCCAGGAATTTTTTCATTATCAATTATGACTGTACCTTCATTATCCCAATGTATTTTATTTTTACTTGTTTCAACTAAGTTTAATAATAACTGTCCCTTTTTATTATAAATTTTTGGTATTAAACTGAGTATTTGAGCTGGTGTGTAAAGTGGATTTTCATCATTTTCTTTACTTTTAATGGATCGATTCTCCTCCAACAAAGATTCAGCATCAACTGAAGTTTTTAGATCTCTATCTTTATTTTTAAAACCAATTTTAGACTTATTTGAATCTTCATTAGATGTATCAGAATAAATTGGTAATCTGAGTGGTTGACGATCTTCTTCGATAAAATGAAGGTATCTTTGCAGTGTTTGTAAATATAACATCCATTTCTTTCGGTCTTCCGTCTTACTATTCATAAAATTTTGCATTTCAATACCTAATCGAGATAAATTACTATTAACCTTTTTTCTTGTTTTAATTTTTCAATCAATCCAGGTTCGATAAGTATCATTTTCTTTGCATTTTCCATGTTAACTGGCTAGTCCACTCACTAATCCACTCAATATTGCACCTAATATTATTGGTAAGAAAGCCCCTCCTTTGTAATATATTTTTTCTTATATTTTACACTTACTCACAAGTTTACGGAGTATATTTTTGTTTTTATTCAATTTTTGTTTATCTTGATCTTTAAGAGGTACTTTTCCTTGTAATACGTTATGAATACACTCACAAATACGGTTAATTTCTTCTTCATCACACGTTTTAAGTAATGCTCTTTGATATTTTGGTTTAAGCGTATGCAAAGCGTTTAGCAAATGTTTATGCGTTGTGAGTCGACGATGCATCATTTAGCAATGATTTGAATTGTTTGATTCTTGGTGTATTTAAACTCTTTTGTGGGGACGTAGACTGTACAGAAACCATTAAATGGGAAGACATTTGTCTTGATACGACAAAAATCATTGGTATTCTGTTTTAAATCTACCATTAAATATCCATGTGCCTCTAGAGTTGCATCCCTGTAGGCATCTTCAATGAATTTTGGGTTATCTGGTGACACTTGTCGTGCTAACTATCTTATTTGAGTTTTATCTCGAGGGTTTTTAAAATATATTATATAACTTGAGTTTAAAGATATGTCTCTTTGCCCTTTACCCTGATGAAATAAATTTTGTGTTAAATAAAATACACTGAGATTCCTGTGATGACTACCTTTTGTAAATATATCCACAAAAAATTCATTCCATCGGACTCTCTCATTAGATCATCAATAATAACGAGATGTGGGTTTTCACCATCAAACATATTAAGATTTGGAATTCCTTGATGATAGTTAACATTTGGTAAATTATATAAAGGTTGCATTTCATCAAAGCACCATGTGATCTGATTAAAATCACAATTACATATTTCTGTAACTGATTTTATGAAATTTGTTACAAAATTTGACTTCCCACATCCACTTGGTCCTGCCACAATAGCAGTAAACGGATGTATAAAGTGAAACATTACACACGTCTAAAGTTCTAAGGGGTGCAATAAAAAATGAAAGTGTTGGTGTAAAAAATTAATATATATTGTGTACTATAACTAATGTTTTTGGGAAATCAAACAAAATTTATGATTCATTGAAAATTTTATTTTCAAGCAATAACCACTTGTAAAAAACCCACACTTCGTCACAAGAACAATGTAAAATTTTGTGATTATTTTTTGCAAATATATGATTATTACACACATAACGTTTGTTTAAATTTATGACATTTACCAAATCATTGTATTTTGGACATTTGTATTCTTCAATATTAAAAATTCTATCATTCGTCGTCAACATTTTTAAAAATTGTTTTTCTGTTGAACCACCTTTGTATGCGATCACTTCGTCTTTGCACAAATTTCTAATATACCAATTTAATATGGGGATGATGTTCTCTTGTTTGTAGGCACATTTTAATTCTTCGGTCACATCAAAATATGGAATGCCGTGCACGTGTGTTTCACAATAACGAACAGTTTTTTTTGTCTTTTGGCGACAAATAATTGAAAGGATAACTTGGCCGAAACAAATAATGATCGATAAACGCATCATTTTTATTAGATAGTTTTACGTCTAGAATAGCCATTTCTCTACATTGAAAATGTTTATGAGGATATGTAATGTAAAATCCGTCCATGTCGATGATGTATCTAATATTTTTTAGATTTTGTGTCATTTTGAACCAAAATGTTAAAAGTATTTACACGTGACTAAAAATATGTTTGTTCCAACAAACTTCACATAACAATGCTTCATTACTTCCCATCATCCCATTTCTTCCTTCTGCTCTTGTCTTCCTGTAATTTAAGTAAACAGAATCACATTCACTAATGATCAACTAATGACTGTCATTGTTAAAAAAGTATTTTTTAACTACTCTAGTATTCGTAGATGCGGTACACACACAATATTTAAATATAATTTGTTACACTAAATCATACACACGTAAGAAAATAACAGAAAGAAAAGTAAGTTTGTCAATAAATAAACACTTAAAATTGCAATTAACAATTTAATTGGTGCCGGCGGGGATCGAACCCGGGTACTGTGAAATTTACAGCTTGCGCTAACCATCTGAGCTACCACGGCTTAAATTTACACACACACAATATTTAAATATAATTTGTTAACACTAAATCATACACACGTAAGAAAATAACAGAAAGAAAAGTAAGTTTGTAAATAGAATAAACACTTACATATATGGCCTTTGATGCGTTGAAGTAACACAAATGTAGTATTGATAGATCCACTGCGGTCAAACGACCATACACTAACTCCATGACTGCACTTGCTTGGTCTTATATAGTACCAGTAAGTAATAATTCTAATCTAAAGAATTTCTGCAGTGGAATTGATAGTAACTTTATGCGTCAACAAGCTTATCTCACATTTTGTTGCTTATCTCAACATTACTTCGTGTCGCGTCTTGTTCAGTGTATTGATGACTCAAATACGTTTTGTATAACACAAAATAATGCAATTTAATATTTAGAAATCACTATAATTGATCATTCCTATGTTAGTCATTGAGTAGATTGTACTGTAATAATCTACTAATAGCAGTAATATCATGGATACACTAGATGTACAACAACATCTGAATAAAATTCACCCCACTCTAGAAAATAATGTTTATGCCGCCAATAAACTGCCCATGTACACCCACGTACCAACGTATATAATATGCAATTTGGATACAGATGATAAACCAGGGTCACATTGGGTAGCTTTATATATCGATACGAATGACGTCGGTCAATATTTTGATTCATTCGGACGTGCACCTGTACGATATCATCTAGAGTTTTTAAAAAGAAATTGTAAAAGATGGAACTGGAATGTTGATAGGATTCAGAATGAGTGGACTTCAGTTTGTGGCGAATATTGCTTAATGTATTTGCTATATAAGTTTCAGGGATGCTCAATGCATAGTTTTACGAGTATATTTACAGGGAACACATTGTACAACGATATTTTAGTGGATGAGATGTTTCGCTCCTATTTTATAGATAATAAGTAATAAGATTTTGTATTTTGTAAATAAAAATTTTAACAAAATTAGGTAATGTGTTTTATTGATGAGTCAGATTAGTGTAGATCGGTGCCCTTTTTAGGAACAAAGCAGTATAATACAATAGCACCACGCTGAGGAAGAATAGATAATGACGGCATTCAATGAACAATAGATAAGTAGATAAGAACAATGGAGCGCTAATGACGGTGGAGGCCTGCACCGGATATCAATTAGATAAGAGTTAATTGATCTGCACATCTCCGGAACCGTGCATCCTACGCAAAAATGGACCGCAGATTCGTGATCAGAGCATGCCAAAACCTTTTTTTTTAGGATCGTGAGTCGACGAACGTCGTACTTGTACCACTTCTGACTCAGTGCGCCAGAACTGGTACAACGTAACTACTAGCGTTAACGGCTATACTACGAGTAGTATAGACTGTGTAAGTACTAGTATAAACTGAGTTACAGCCGTCAGCGTCTTAAACCCGAAGTAGTACAAAACAAATAAAAAAAAGATCATTTCGCTATACAATACACCAACACGTTAAAATAAATATGGAAAAATTACGAGAAAACTTTCTAATTAAAATTTTAATTAAAAGCTAATTCCATGCGGGTGAAGTCGCGTGCGACAGCTTTTTACTAAATGCTTATAAAAGTATATATTTATAAAAATAAACGATATGAAAACTATATAAAATGCCAAAAAAATCTTAAGATTATCGGAAATGGAGGTATAAAGTATAAACACCGTATTCGCGCCAAATGTAAAATATCTCTTTAATAAAACAAAGAATTTTATCGCGTTTAAATTTACTTATTTTGGGAATTAAAATAAGTAAAATTAAATGAAACCTGGTAAAATAGTTTTATTAGTAATATTGCTTAGTAATAAACACCACTTGAGTGGTCTAGAACCTAGAATACTGACATTTTGTGGTCATTTTTTTTGAACACAGTAGTGATTCCTATCATCGGGACCACAGTCAGTCGAGACCTAACATCCGTGATGTTCGGGCATCCCTCGATTTTCTCAATATTATTGTACAATTTATATTCTAACAAACGGGATTCCATACACTAAGTTCGTTTAAAAGCATTTCTAAAACTCCGATCCTACAGTAGCATACCTCTGTCCGGTGATCTTCTTCTTGTTGGGTTGTCGCAGATGCATCTCCCAGCCGGGGCCGGTGTAGGTGGTGCGTGGGAACTCCTCCAACGGCACCGACGTGTCCTCGTCGAACAGTGGCGTGGGAGGAGTCTCCCCACCATCGCCGCTGCCAGACCGCCGCCGGCTCTCCTCTACAAAAATATTTAATCCAGGTAAGCTTCTTACCCAATGACCGCCACGCACAGGCTTGCCAACCTTAGTGTAATTAGCGGGAAATTGCAAACAAATCGGGATGTAGCTAAAAAGGCGGGAAAAAGCTGTAAAAGGTTCATAGTGGCGAAATTTTTTATCAGAAATAAAATTTTATTTTCATATTTAAAACAATTTAAACATTTCGTATTATGAATGTAAAGAATCTGATGCCCTTTTTTACTGGAACCGAGGCATTCCATTTCAGTCCTTAGATGTAAATGTATATGGGCCACAGCATCCACTTACCATCAGGTGGACTGTGCGCTCGTTTGAGAATTGTTACCCTTATTCTATTTAAAAAAAGTTATGCAACGTTGCTCAATGACCGTCATCCTCTCAACGTAAGTGTTCAAACTAGCCTAAGAAAGGCTGTCTACTAGTGTTTCTAAATTAGCGGTACCTACGCGTACTGCTGAGGGTACGTGAGCTTATCTAAACGGGTATCTTTTCTTGATTAAGGTAACGGTAAGTGCAATATCTTATGTAATATGTCCATAAAAGAAAAATTGTTTATTACACTGCGTGCATTTTTGTCTCCGAATTGTTAATTATGCAGCGTTCACTTTTGTCCCAGTGAGCTATGTGACTTTAGTAATAATGAAAATTGTTGAAAAGCAAATGACGAAAATAGAATTATAATTAAAATATTTTATCATTACTATTATAAGGGCCTGAAGGGTCTCGCGAGATCAAGCTGTATCTCAAAGTAGTACGCAGGAAAACTGTCGTATTACTACATTTATTGACGTGAAACAAAACTACTTGATGCACGTAAAATAAGCCTTAATAATACATATATTTGAATACCAAATTGTTACCTACTTGTCAGGCTCATTGTTAAAAACCCCGCGGCATCGGTGTGTGTATTTCAGATGCGAATAACAATCACTGTCGTAAATGCCATGCTTATATGCCTGTACGTGCCTATAACCTATGTGTACCTATAAGTCCCCAAAAGGGTCACCTTTTTGTTACATACTGTATAAAGTAACGTACCGAATTGCGGCTCTATCCTTTGCGGCGGTTCAGCTTCACTTTTGTCGAAAGGATTGCTGCGCGGGGAGTCCGGCAGCACCTGGGGACGAGGCGGGGGGGCAAGCACCGGCACCGCTGACTCTTGTCCACCCATGTCATCTTTAGGCCTGAGATTACAGATGCAGTTACATAACTAAGTCAAAGTAAAATAAAAATAAAAATCATCTGTGATAAAAGCTACCTAATAAACACTGAGAAAGTATCGTCAGTAGAGTCACGAGATCCCTGGTGCTCGAGGCGAGGTGTGGCCGCCGGTGGAGGTGGTGCTTCCATGTGCAGGAAAGGATCGAACGCTTCCGCTTCGAAGCCCCCCGGCGCAGCATCCGAACTGCCGTCGTCACCCCAAACGTCTGAAATTACACCACATTTGTAAATTATGGGTTTTAAAATTTGTAACTCAAATAATATATATTTTCTACCTGTAGTTTTGTTATTTGACACAGTGGAGTCAAATTTAGCGGAAAAGGCATCAAAAGCGTCTTCCGATGGCTTAACGGTGTCTTGTAACATTTTTTCAGTTGAACCCCAACCGGGATCACTCGATGAAGGAGCAATTGTACTTTCAACAATGTTGTTGACATTTGAATTAAAAATACTGTCGTGTTGAGTTTCATTTGTCTCTGAAATATCTCCAAAAGCATTAACCTTTGAATTTTCCCAAGTTTCTTTAGGGTGGCCTTCTATGAAAGATTCTGACTCGTTTTGACCTTCGTTAAATAATTCATTAGTTGGTGCCATATATGTATCTTCGACTTCTGTTGAAAATATATTAGTTGCATTTTCAGCAAACGACGACATATGAGCAAATTCAGTACTTTCAAATGGGTTCTTATCACGTTCATTTATCTGTTGAAATTGATCATTGATATGTTCTGCAAAAGGAGAAGTGTCAGATTGAGTTGTAGTTACTTCCATTGGTTCCGAGCAATCCATGTGAGCGCAAGAATCATCCATTACATTTGTAAACATCGACATATTGCTCGTCTCTTCTACAGTACCACTAGCAGTTGTTACTATATCTTGAAAGATAGACGTAGTTTCGACAGAATGTGAATTTGTTGTTGTTGTTGTCGTAATGATATTTGTTATCTGCGTTTGCATTTCGGGACCTTCTTCAGAAGTCATAACATCAAGTATATCATCGCTGAGAAAATCTATTTGTTTTTCTTCTTTTTTCGGTGCGGAATATAAACTCAAGATATGTTCTTTGGTTGGTTTGGTTGTCACAGGTGCAGGTGCATCAAAAAGATTAATATCTTCGGATGGTTGTGACTGCCGCTGTGGTGATTGTTGCTTTGATTGGAGTACCTGCGGTGATGCTTGCGGACGAGGTGGGGGTACGCTGGGTGGTGCAGGACGTGGGGGTCTGTTAGGTGGTGGAGGCGGTCGAACGGGTTTATCTTTATTAAAGTTATCTTCTGTTACCATCTCGTCAAGTAAGTCAGGCTCCGGAGTGGGGCTCGGTGAATGTATATCTCGAGCCGATACAGGGCTAGGTGTTCTCGTTGGTGGTATTCGATCAAGTAGGTGCGTACTAGTAAATTCCATTTGACCAGTTACGCTCAGGATTAAGTTCTGAGTTTCAGTGGGCAGTGGTCGTGCAGATGGCTCAAGATCGTTATTATCACCCATCAACGGACTAGCACAATTGACTATAGTAGAGACTAAGTCTAATTCAGTAGGTTTTACTAGCTTTTCAGAGTCCATTGATTGACTAGTAAACATATCTAGTGGATTATCTTCAAAATTCTTAGCACCGAACTCTTTGGGGTTTTCTCCCCCAAAAATATCAACAGGAACTGTATCACCTGCAGGAGGCTCATAGCTATTTCCAAAGTCTGAAAACGGATTACTGGCTGCAAATGGATTATCCCCTTCTAACGTTAAATCTTCTACGTCTGACACCATGAAAGGATTAAGTACGTCTGCAGCTACTGGAGCTGTCGGCTCATTCATGCTTAAGAACGGATTGTATGCCATTTTAACGAAATTTGTGGAACTTAGTTCAGGAATTCAGATTCAAGTAACTTTAATTCCGTTTTTCCTGGATTAAGAGCAGTAGCGAATGAAGTATCAAACGGATCAAAGTCCTCTTGTGATTGTGTTAGATTTGCCGGTTCAGGACTTAATGCTTTTACTTGAAAGATGTCGTCGGATGGTTCTAATAAGTCTGAATTACCTTCGGATTCAAAAGTAGCTTTGGAATCGTCACAGACAAACTCTTTAGCCAACAGTTTCAATTCTGTTTTGCTTGGTTGAATATCCGCTGCAACGGAAGTATCAAACGGGTCTTCTTCGATTTCCGGAACGTTCTCTTCTATTAATTCTGGGCCTGAAGGTGTGAGTACTTTTGCTTTTATTTCAGAATTACCACTATTAAGGAGATCACTCGTTTTTAAATTAACTTTTATATTATATGATTGTGGATATTCTGAATGGCGTCTTTTTGTTTGATACGTTATATTAGTACTCAAATCTTCGTCAGATCGTGTTCTTGTTAGCACATCGGTTACTTTTTCATTAACTTCACTGCTCTCGTTTATATCTTCAGTTATAGAAAGTTCCCTGCTGTAATATGGCGTTAATGGTTTGTTTGGCTTTGATTTAGGATCTAAATTACTAGATTCTTCACTATCAATATTGAAAACCACGCTTTTACTAAATGAAAGATTTTCTGGACGAGATGCTCTTCGCTCTGACTGCTTCGGTTCATCCGCTCGAGGATCAAAATCAGGATCACTTGGAACCCTATAAATTGTTGTCGATGTGGCACCAATTAGCTCTTGTTCAAGTAATTTTAACTCAACTTTTCCTGGAGCTACAACCCTATCGACAATAGTAGTATCAAAGGGGTCTATGTCAGTGTTGTTTACGTCCACTGGATTCAGAGGGGAATCTCCTAATTGTGTTAAGTCTGTAGTACTTCCTCCTAATAAATCATGAGGTATATTTTTTTCATCAATGTCATGAATATCATCAGATGTAATCGATTCTCTTATTCCCAAAGGATTAGTTAGATGGATTCTAACCGATGATTTACGCCGGTTGTTAAACTTCTCTTTGAATTCTTCTGCACGTGGATCAAAATCTTCGTCGTCCTCTGGAATAACTGCCTTTTGCTTAATTTGAACAGAATGTGAAGCAGGTATTACAGCTTCCGCAAAACTAGTATCAAATGGATCGTCTTGATCTATATATGGATCTAACACATCAATTTGATCTTCAGCTATTCCTTCTGCAAATACAGACTCGTTTTTATCAGCTTCAAAGACTGACCACGATTCCTTTATAACAGGCTCAAGTTTAATTTCCTTTTCTACTACTTTTATTACTTCAGTTTTCGTTTCAAGTGATTCTGCAGCTAATAACGTGAACTCATCATCCTCCTCTTCTTCACTTTTTGTTTCTTTTGTGTTGGAATTTGTTAGCTCAAATATATTTTCTTGGCTACTCTTTTTAAATTGTTGTATTAATGACGTATGTAACGAAACACTAAGATCAATAGGCGTTGTTATAGGAATATCCGTGTCAGCATCTAATATACTTCTCTCGATTGGTTCACTTTCGGTTGATTTTGCAACCACAGGCACTTCAGCATCAACACTTTCCAATAAAAGATCTCCGGGAATTACACGTTTTGATTTTTTTGTAGTAACTGTTAAATTATCAATCCGACCAGTAAGAACTTCAACAGCTACCCCAATGTCTAAAGTTTTTTTATCCCCTTTGATTTTGCTCTCTTGACCTTTAATTAATGCATCGACATGTGATGTGTCAAATATTCCATCATCTTGAAATTCTTCAGGTGAATCCGGAACATATGCTAGTTTTACTTCTCCACGTTCAACTGCATCTACATAAGAGGTATCAAAAATGTCGTCTTGATCCTCGGTTTCAGATTCGTCATCAGTGAGTCCGTATTCACTTTTATCGTCGTCCGCATCTGTAGCGGTGGCCTGAATCAACCGGGGAAAATCGGCTTCTGTTACTTCGACCACCGGCCTTGCCGGAGCTTCCTTTATTTCCGGTTCAGGTTCTTTTGGTTGTACCCGTTGAAAAAATGATGTCGATTTAATGCGATCTAAATCGCCTTGAGTTTTTTTAAGCACAGAGTCTACTCCCGTTGTCAAATCCTTAAATTTGGACCACTCCTCATTTTCTTTTGCAGATCCTTCGCCACTTTCAGCTTGTTGCTGTTGGTGTTCTTTTCTATACTTTTCTAATTCTTCCTCAGTAAAAAGCTCTTCCTCGCCTTTGCGCTTAGACTTCTTGCCTTTTTTCTTCTTTTTAAGGCCTTTGGGTAATTTTAGCATTATATGAGCTTATGAACTTTATTCTGTGTTGCTGTAAAAGATAAATAATTTTTATTAAAATACCTACTTTACTTCAAAATAATTAAAGGCTGCTCTAGTTCTAAAAAAGTTTAATTTACTGGGTGTCCAGTAAGAGCAACGGGAGTTTGTTTATTGATTCACGGCGTCAAGTGAAGTAGCAGGGACATGGGAAGGGCAACGTCGCGCGCGTCGGTTCGTGGAATTTTAGTTGCCATGGAGCCGTATCCCGGAAAGCACCGCGCTTTTTACATGCGAGCGTATTACCGCAATAACGATTCCATTGTTACTGCTCAGCGTTTATATCGTAGAGAATATCGCACACGTACAGCGCCAAGCGACGATGTCATACGAAAGTGGATTAAAATGTTCGAGAATACCGGGTCGACCGTTAAAATTCAAAATACAGGTCGTCCGCAAAGCGTTAGAGATGCAGAAACAATCGAAGAAGTGAGAGTTTCAGTACGTAAAAATCCGTCTCTATCAATTCGCAAACGAGGACAAGAACTAAACATCAAAAAATCTTCACTGCAAGTAATTTTGAAGAAAGATTTGCATCTCCCAGCCTACAAAATCCCGTTAGTCCAAGAACTGAAGGATTCCGATTATGAAAGTCGGTTAAATTAATGCTACTGAAATGCTAGAGCGATTTCCACCTTAACGGTCACGTTAATAAACAGAATTGTCGCTACTGGTCCAAGGAAAACCCTAAAACAAAACATCAACGGCCACTTCATAGGCCATTTAGGCCGCCTTTTCTGGTAGAGGCATATCGGCCCCTTTTTCCATGAAGACAGACGTGGGCGAGCAGTTACAGTGAATACAGACATACGTGACATGTTAAGGGCTTTTTTGGCGCCCGCATTAGAAGATTTCCCAGGGTTTAATTCAAGAATATGGTTGCAGCAAGATGGAGCTACATGCCACACCGCAGGGGCGTCAATAGACGCTGTAAAGGAATTGTTCCCAAAATTATCTTGCGTAGGGGCACCATTAACTGGCCCCCCGGAAGTCCAGATCTTAGTCCTCTCGACTATTTTTATGAGGATACCTTAAGGGTAAGGTGTACGATAATCACCCAACGAATCTGAGTCAATTGAAGGAGAACATCACGTCAGAGATGAGGGCAATCCCAACTTCACTTTGTCAACGCGTCGTCGCCAACCTGCGTTCAAGGTTCGAGGAGTGCCAGCAGCGTGGGGATACACATTTAGATGATGTTATATTCGCCAAATAAATTTCCAAGAAACTGTTTATGAATTAAAAATAAAGGATATATTTAATTAATTGTATTTCTCATTTTATTTAACTATAAAATACCCGGTACACTTACTGGACACACGGTATATTAAATTATAAAAACATTAAACGACAGCAAAATAATAATGTGATCTGTCTGTGTGTGTGTGTTGTAAATATTCCAGCGTTATTCATGAAATTTTCCAATATCTGGCGAAATTTATTTAGTACATATTTCATACTAACTTTTTTTTAAAATAAAACAAACAATGGATGGTAGAAATAGATTTAGAACAAAACGCTTAATGGATGGTAGATTTACCATCAATGGTACCACCACAATACCACCATTGACAGGTTCTTGTACTGTTGATACTTCTTTCCGTTACAAACTGGGTGTTTCAGGCACATTTTTCACTTTGTCATCTGTCTGAAGATCTGTCACGAAATCATAATGCCATTTCTAACAGGTGTTTCTTACAACACTCACAGGGAATTTGATAATAGATTATCTTAAGTCGCTTCCACACAAAAATGTGAATAATAATATTGAATTAACAGCCCCGCTATAAACTGCCTTGTAAGGCGACTACAATTTTTTATTTTCAAATTGTAATTAGAAAGCTTTGCTCTCTATCTCCTGATTTGTTTCCCCATGTCGTATCTTACGTCGCAGCTGGACGATAAGAAACAGTGAAAATATTCTTTCAGGGCCAGTGTACGGTCAATATTGTATGGATTTGATATCCCTCAATATTGAGATAAACTTAATATAATAAAAATTTAAAATATGTGTTATTAATATTTGTTAATGGTTAAATTTCAAATGCAGTTACAATGTTGACCTGACCTGAACAGTCTATCAAACTGATGATATCAAATCCTGTATTACTATCGCGAACATAGAGATCATTATAATTTATTCTTTATTCGACAGATAGCATCAATACATGCTAAAGGAGACAGTGTTGCTCTGTCAAATCCATAAACACCCGAAAACCATTTTTTCTTTGTGACTCAGATTTTCACTTTCGCTGGGACTTGTTACTAGATTTCTAGCCGTGATAATAAGACCTACGTTTTGTTTTTGACGAGGTATTGAATGTTCTTGTTCATTAACATTTTAATTTATATAATATATCTGCCGTGTTTTATAAAACAACAAACGAAATTAATAGTTTTAGTTAAATATGCTCCAACAGATCTGATTTAGTGAGCAACAAAGGGAAATGTAATTTCATTAAAAAAAAAAACGTCTTTAACAGGTATTAAGGCAATTATATAACAAAAATCACTACTAGATCATTCGAAACGTATCGTAACTAGTGATGAGTGATAACAGGGGTGGTGAATGTAGGCGACGGTAATTATAATGCTTTGGTGTTTTTATTATGACACAATAATATCTTCACAATAATCGCTAAATTTGGAATTCGTTGAAAGGAACACTTTACTTAAAACTATTACATTCTGAAAAGTTACGTATATTTGTGTAGGCGTTGAAGTGACAGTATGACGTAGTTGTTATATCGATCGATCGGCTCATCTTATTTTAGTTTTCTTTTATAGGGACGATGTAACGTGTATATATACAATATTGGGTGATATACTTAAAGTGTATAAGTAAATGACGAACATCGAATATAGTTTTTTAGTGATATTAAGAAGATACCACAATAAGTTTGTACATAGGTAAGACACAACAATAAGCTCAGATATGTAGGCACAATGACTATGACGGATCGAAGTGAGCGAGAGAATAATGGGCGAGGTGAGGCGATGGTGAGTCAGTGATGAGGCGGCGGCCGCGGACACAGCGAGCTACACGCACACGTACCGAGCCGACTGCAGCCGCTACCTACAGCTAAGTCATACGACTACCGCGCTACTAAGTCGTCTGTACCTTCATGGCAACACGCGAACAGTCGCGGACAGTCACGGACAGTCGCGGACAGTCGCGGACAGCCGCGGAGTCGGTGTGTAGCGAGCTGGTGGGTGCGCTCGGGGGCGCCGGCTGCTCGTCACTGAGCGAGGACCGCTCCGTATTGACCGCTCCCGCTCTACCTGCGCGCGCAACCACTCTTCAGCTCCCTCTACATCATACATAATACGCTATATAGCTTATATTGTACATTCAATCGTCTCCCTAGTTTTCGCCCCTTCGCTCTCTTGCCCTCGTTACGTAATCACGCCCGTTCCTTTTCCTCCCGTGTAATCGATTATATTTACTCAAAATACGTCTAATGCTTAAAATTGTATTTGACTACATAGTTAAAAAAGGAAACTGAATAGTGATTATGCATTTCTTTTGATATCTCGCTATTCAAAACTATAATAATACCTACTTGAATATCTAGTAATAGAAATTAAAGGTAGTACTATCAACAGCACATGAACAAGTCATTTACCTCTCCTTCATTCGAACACTTGCTTGGTTTCATTTTGCTGCCTACATACAGTCAACTTCACATTCGGTAGTTGATGTAATGGATTTTTGAAAGCCCATATCTTTCGTTTTGAGGTTCTTAGAGTCCGATTACTGTTACATTGGTGAATTTTTTTTTGTGTTTCGTGTTTCATCCTCGTATCTAGTGAACAAATGATGATTCCAACTCTAAATCATATCCTTTAAACGAGTTATCGATAAAGTTTTCATCAAGTTCAATTCAGCAGTTTATTTTATAACAAATAGCACAAAACTAGAAGTAATATACATTTTTGGGAGTACGCCTATGTGGCGATGGCGCATCCTGTATGCTAACAGAAATCTCAGCGACCCTGATGCCGGAAAAAATCCATCCAAAAATACGCTTCCACACAGTTAATTAGACTTTAGTCCTTCAAGATATGCATCTGATAGAACATTATTGTAAAGGCCAATATCCAATAATAAACTTTAAAAAGGCTGCATGTTTTGAGTTATTCACGCCATTTTATTTAAAAATACAAACACTTTTAATATCATAATTATTCATGAGAATATAAGCTTTAAAAGTATGAGCCATTCTTTTTAGGACATATTCCGTTAAGCCTGGTCTGAGAATCAATAGTTTTTCATAGCTTAAAATTGGGTCAAACCCATCAGTACAATGTCACAGGCGCTTAGTTTGCCGCTAACGTGATATTTTGTACTAAGGGCCTGTCCTATTACTTTGAGTTTAATATTAGGTATCTAATGTTAAGTTTTTTAATTGTTTAATATAGATTATAAATAATAAGTACTTATTGAAAGTCGGAAAATACCTCTGTCCTGGGAAGAACCAGCAAGAAAACCCAGAACAGTTTACAGTCATATAATATTATGTTAAACAATTAACTACTAAAAACAAATTGGAAATTGTATAATAGCGATCATTATATATATATATATATATATATATATATATATATATATATATATATATATATATATATATATATATATATATATAATTGGAACAAATTTCGTATATTTTCGGGAATTTCCTTGTAATAGCATATATAATATCGAATCAAGAATGGATTGCTGACTATGTGGAGTCGAGTAACCGGTACTACTTGTGTCTGCTCTTAGTACTTACAGAGATAATAACTTATTATTAAACTACTTATATTTTTGTGTACATAATACTTGTAAAATACCAGCTTAGCGCTGCTGTGTTTCGTATGTATATATAGGTGAGTGTAGAGAACCGGAGACCCTTTTATCTGGAAACGAGGCATTCCATCTTAGTCCTTGAGAGTGACAACGCATCTGCATTTTG